AGTACGGCATGGTGGTGCGAAGTGGACCCTGGCGATATCTGCGGCGGCGGATCCCCGCCGAACGAGGTCGCGGAAAACCGGCGACGACAACGCATCAGAACCGCCAGCCCGCGCGCGACCGGGGCCCTTCATGCAAAGAGCGCCAACTGCGGCGGCGACTTTCCAGACCTCCGTGGACATTCCCGCGGCGCCGATGACCATCTCGACGGAGCGCTGACCGAAGGGCTGCTGCGGCGTCGATGCATCAGTCAAAGCGTCTGGGCCCTTCGGAGGCCCCTGCAAGCGTCGCGCGCCCAGCCGCTCGCCCCATGACTGGCGGCGGGCCCTCGGCGCGGCGAGCAGCCTGGCAGCGGGTGCCGCGCCTCCTGGCCGCGGACTCCCGCGGGGGCGGCCTGGGCGCGGCTGGGCGCGATCCCGAAGAGCGCCACTGAGTGCGGAAGACGAGCAAGGTTCACTGAGACGCGGCGCGGGGACCTCCAGCCGCACTGCAGAGCATTCCGGAACTGGGCTACTGTCGACGTGACATGATGCCTCCGCTCCTACACTCGCCGCTCATTCCTCGCCTGTGCAAGTCAGGGATCGGCCTCGCATGTGCTTGCCCTTTGTCTTGTCTCCCTTGTCCTTGCCGCAACCCTTGCCTTTAGCGTTTGGCTTCTACCCCGGATTGATCTTGCATTCGATGCTACGATGCGGCCGGCGGCACCATTCGCAACTCTTGGCGGTTGGCCGCTGCATGGCGTCGTGCACCCTTCGTTCCGGCTCCACTCGAAAACTATGTCCGAGCCGTTCTCTGCGCGGCGGAACCGGCCGTCCTCTCGCCTCTGGTTGACCCAGGTGATCCACCCTGTGCTGCCCCGCATCTTCTTGGCGCCTCCCTGCCCTGACTGAGCCGCGTCCACTGGCCGCAGCTGTCTTCCGCTTCGGGGCCTTTTTGCCCATCCCACGCGGCGTCGCCGCGGACCCCGCTGCGGCGGCGGGGAAGCCAGCGCCCGTATCTTGCGGCACCAGGGTGACAAGGATCTCTTGCCGACGTGTCCACGACGGCGTCCGCGCAGCGTGCCCGACTTTCTCCCAGCTTGCCGCATTCTCTTCGAGGTGCTGGTCCCAGAAGGCCGTGCCCTCGACGCCCTCAACGGCGGCCAACAAGTACCGAGTTGTACGGGCGCTCCAGCTGAAACGTGCTCGGCTTGGGAGAGCCCTTGTGAAAGGCCCGCTGCCGCCGAAACCCGTCCAGCACGAACTCTAATCGCCACTCACACTCGGCCATCGCGGCCGCCCGCCATGACTGAGGGCGGAACTCTGCAAACCGCCAGAAGTTCCTGGCGCAAGCATCGGCGACGCCGCGCCCCACCACGTCGGCCATCACCAGCGTGGGCACGGCGAACTCCCACGCCGCCAGCCAGTCGTCGAGGCAGGACGGCCCCGGCACCTCGCGCGGAGCTCTCCTTGCACGCTCGTGTGGTGCATCGTCGGCATGGGGTGCCGCTCGCGGCGGCCGCCGCTCGGCCCCCCGGATCGCCATGCCGCGTGCCAGAGGGCTCGGCTCTGCGTCCGCGATCCGCCTGAGCATGGAGAGCCGGTGACCCGTCGGCGCCAGCTCACGGGGCAGTGGCAGCCAGTTGATGGCCAGCCACCGGCCCCGCATCTCCTCCAGGTCGGCCTCCTCGAGGGGCCGTCTCCGTGAGCCTGGGCTCTTGGCCAAGGCAGCCCCTCCCGCGGAGGACGGGGCCCGTCGCCGACCCGATCGCCCCGATCCCGGACCCGGTCGTGGAGATCGCTGGCGGCTTCGCAGGGCCGGGCGGTGCAGACGCGCCAGCCTACGGGCTGCCTCCAGACGCCTGCTGCGAGGCCTCGGACCCGCTGACCAGCGGCAGCCCAGCCAAATGCCGAGTCACGCTGAAGAGCAGCACCAGCATTGCACGCACCAGGCCACCGCCCTCTGCGGTCGCCACGGCACCGCCTGGATGTAGTCGCCCACGTCCACGTCCGCGAGGAGCTTCATGTCGGCAAGATATGGCTCCCCGAGGCTCGTAGCGACCTTTGTCCAGATGTCCTCCCTGATGTTGGCGAACTTCCGCGCCTCGACGAAATCCGCCATCAGCGCCTCCATCGCAGCGGCCGCTATGGCAGCCAGCGCAACGCAAATACAGTTATCTTGACGTCACAGGCCCCCCTGCTTACAAGCGTGCGACCACACGCCTATCCTAGATCCTAGAGCCAAAATGTCAACGGACCGTGCTATTCATCACGCTGCAGGTCCGCATGCAAATGCTAAATGCTGGCTTCGATAGGTGCGACTTCGACTGAAAATGCTCATTGCCGGAACACCCCCATAAGGCTCGTTAGGGGTGGAATCTTTGAAAAACGCACTTCCACCGCAATTTGGGTGTATAGGTCCATCCGTTGTAGGGGCAGAGAGGCTGCATTCTTCACACCTGCTACCCTTCGTCCCTCTCAACCCCCGCCCGCAGCAGGGCGTCGCTGTGACTGCGCACACGCGTGTGCTCCACGGGCTGGGAAGTGGGCAGCGCGTCATGCCGAAGCCTGTTGGGCCAGAAGCGGCGGAGCGACACGCCAAGCCGAAGTTCCTGACCGCACTGTGCGCCACATGGGCTGGATTCGAGCCAGTTTCAAGTACAGTCGGGGCGTTGAACTAAGGAACCCTAAATAAGGAACGAGGCCCCTTTTCTCCAGAAGTTGAACTTCGATTCCCTTCGAAAACACAAGGGAAACGTGGGGCAAACTGCAAAACGATCAAGGAACACCGAGCCCCTACCCAACGAAAAGGGTTCCTTCTTCAGCGCCCCGGCTGTAGATTCAAGCCAGTTTCAAGTACAGGTGGGCATGCCCGCCTGGTGGCCGCACTTGTTGGAGGTCTTGGACTGTATCGAAGCCCTCCTTCTGCTCCACCAGAAGAAAGCGTGCCTACAACCCTCCGCGAAAGTAAACGCAAGCTGTTATCCAACTCCCTCGCCCCCCCGCTTCAGTGTCCAGCGACGCGCGCAACGCGGCCCCCTGGGATCCGAACCAAAAATGCAGTCGTCGATTTCGGCGCGAACGTCGAGAACGGGGGTCAGGGGGCGCTGCCGCGCCGCGAAAAGAAGCCTGCGGCTGCTTTCGCGGAGGCGTGCACCTTGAGCGGGCATCTCGGGTCGGGCGAAAGGGGGGGATAGCAAAGGGGGGGGTTGAGAATCAGCTCACGTAGCTGATTTTCCTGGCGCCTCCCGGCGCCAGAGGCGGCTATGTATCGAGGGATGGGCCCCTCGGTGAGGCCGAAACCAGCTGCATGCAGCAAATTTCGTAACCCCCCCTTTCCCAATCCCCCCCTTTCGCCCGACCCGAGCATCCTGGGAAGCGGTTGTCCCAAGGCCGCGGCATCACGGCCAGTCCGGAACTGCTCAGAGCTGCTCTCATGGCCCCCCGCTGCGCCCGCCGTGGTCTTGCGGCACCTTGCCGTTCCACGGGGCGTGCTTGCCTGGCACCCCCCGCGTGGCGAGATCTGCCGTCCTGGGCGCCCAGAGGAAAGCACGTACGACCGACGAAGCTCTGGCGGCATCTACCGCCCTGGGCGCCCAAGAGGAAACAGACGCGACCGACGAGGCGGTGGCTGACGTGGGACCGCTCTCTCGTCGACCAGGCCATGACCGCCGATAGTGGGGTGCGCAATGCATACGTCAGGAAGGGCAATATATTGCGTTGCGGTCATCCACCTATGGGTAGTCGTTCTCTTCGGCTCATAGAAACGATTTCGTCCAGTCACTTGTGGTAGTCGTGGGCGTGCCCATGGCAGCAACCTTGTTTCTTTATTTCTTATCGCCTTCCTCCTCCTCCTCCTCATCCATGATCTTTCTATTTCTATTCCTACTCCTCTTGTGCCTCTTCCCTCACCTTGTTCTCTTTGCTCCTGTTCTTCACCCTCCTTCTCTGGTTGCTCCTCCTTCTCCCCTCCTCTTCTTCCTCATCCCCCTCCTCAACGTCCTGGCTATCCTCCGTCTGCCACTCCTCTGCCTTCCCCTCCTCCTGGACCGAGCCCTCCTCCACCTTCTCATCCTGCTTTTCCTCCTTGTCCCTGCTCCGCCCTTCTCCACCTTCTCATCCCCACTCCTTCGACTTTCTCAACCTTCTCATCCTTGCCACTACTCCTTCTCCTCATCCTCCTCTTCCTCTTCCTCATCCTCCTCCTTCCCCCTCCTCCTCCTCCTCCTCCTCCTCCTCCTCCTCCTCCTCCTCCTCCTCTCCCTCCTCCTCGTCCTCCTCCTCACCCTTCTCCTCTGCTCCCCCTCCTGGTTCCCGCAAAATTAAGCAAAACGAGTACTACTCTCCCTCCTGCCCACACAAGATTTCAAAACTTGACAGTTACTCTGGGCTGTTACCGTTCGACTGCCTTCGGTTGTTCAGAGTTGTGCTCCCGCTGCAGCGTGGGCTCAATCTTCGGATCGGCGCTTTGCCCCTGGCGTTCAGAGTGGCGCTCTCGCCCCAGCGCTGGCCACTTTACTGGATCCGAGTCTTGCTTCACTGTGGTCCCCACTTCATTTCCCATGTTCTGCCTTCCCCTGGTCCTCCTGTTCCTCCGCTCTTTCCACTCCAGTCCATGCTGCTGCTGCTGCTGCTGCTGCTGCTGCTGCTGCTGCTGCTGCTGCTGCTGCTGCTACTGTTCGTCTCGCCCCAGCGCGGGCCACTTTTCCGAATCCGAGTCTTTCTTTACCGTTGTCGCCCCCTTCGTTTTCCCTCCTCCGCCTTCCCTTGGTTATCTTGTTCCTCACGATTCCTCTGCTTTAGTTCCTGCTGATGCTGTTCGTCCTCGTCCTCTTCCTCCCGCTCATCGTCCTGCTCACCCGCCACCACCTCTCTTCCAGTGCACGCAACTACCTCTTCCGACTGCGCATAACACAAAACGGTCACTCTGTGGGGATCGCAGGTCGGCTATGACACGCGTCCGCGGATATATATATATATATATATATATATATATGTATACATATATGTATATATATAGATTTTTCCTGTAGGCAGCTGCTGTGACAAGCTTCCGTAGAGATTGGCAAGCAGGAAAATATGAAAGCGCGTAAAAGCCAGGGTATCACAAAGTCTGGCATTTGCTAAGATAAAAACCCCAGAGTGGACATCATGTCTGCTGCGTCGCAAGGCCCTGCACAATTGGCAGGAAAGCAACATTCGAATTCGCACCTGCTGCCATCAGCCGAGAGGCGACCTCCAACGCCGGTGCCCGCAGCGACGGCTGCTGCTGCAACTCCGAGAGCACAGCTTCGCCGTCAGCGAAGCGGCCCAGCAAGGCAACGTCAGTGTCGTCCAACTCTTTCGCATCTTGTGAAAAAGCTCCAGACTGGATGTCCGTGGCGAGGTCCTCACGGGAGGCCTCAAAAATGGAAGGCATCGCGTCCGGAGGAGCGCCAGAAACCTGCAGCTGCTCCGGACCGGGCTCGGTCACATGCGAACTCACCTTCTTCTTATTCTTCTTGCGCCGATTCTTCTTCTTCCTCGTCGGGGCCACCTCCGTAGCGCCAGCAGCCAGCGAGGGTACAGAAGAAGACGAGGAAAAATCATCCCACTCGTGATGGACACCGCCACTATGGGCTGACATGTCCAGGACACCGCCACTCTGGGCTGACGTGCCTACACCGAAAGGCGACTCCGAGGCACCGCCACTGACGGCTGACGTGCCAGAGCCGTCAAGCGTGACACCGCCACTAAGGGCTGACATGTCGGGGGCTGCACCTTCACCACCTGCATCGGGAAAGGACCCGTCGCCGATGTAGAAGGTCCTCACCTCCGAGGTGGCGTCCGTGGGATCCTCGTTCCTGCTGGCGGAGTCGGAGGTGACGGCGGCGTGACCGGAGCAGGCGGCGAAGGAGGCCACCACCCCATCGCCAAAGCTGCGATTTCCGTCCTGTCCGGCTCCTGACCAGTGGGCATGTCCTCCGTTATGCGCTTGAGGATGCGCTTGTAGTCGCTCAACATGTGTTTGCGACGCCTCTTCTTGGGCGCCGGTGGAATGGTAGTGCTCGTAGTGGTACCCTGCTCCGCCGAAGAACTCGCCGCATCCGCCGCCATGGCCCTGGGAGGCGAAACCGCCTGCACCGTAGCCACTGGACTGGGATACGATCTGAAATCCCCAGGCGGGGGGGAAAAGGGCGAGATCACCGGAACCTCCACCTGCGGCTTCACCTGCTTGTCGGACTGCACCTCCGAAGCCCTCTGCGCCTCCACAGCGAGGCGCAGGCGCTCCCAACGCGGGAGCTGCTTCACCGGCGCCTGCTCGAGCTGCTCCACCTCCGCGGGCTGCCGGCAGCCATGTGCCGGGGGCGGCGGCGGCGGCGGGTGGCAGAACCGGCGCTGCGAGTCCGCCATCGAGAAGAACAACGTCTAGTGAGCCGAAATGCGCTGCAAACGCTGCAACGCGCGCCCCGAGGTCGCCGTTGACGAGGTGCGCTGGCACGAAGATGCGCAACTCGGGATCCCTTGATACCATGCACCGGTATCCCCCCAGCGTTCACTGCCGCACACCTGGCGGAAGCGCTCAAGCCAGCAGCACAATGGCCATCAGCCCTGGGGAAGGCGCGAGCCGGCAAGGATCCTGAACGGCTCGAGCCCGAGCTTGAGCCAAAATGGCTACGGATATATATATATATATATATATATATATATATAGAGAGAGAGAGAGAGAGAGAGAGAGAGAGAGCAAACTCGGCGCCATGGGAAGGGATGGGCGGGAGGGATAGGATGTTGCATGAGGCGCGAGCGCACCCAATGTATCCTCTCTCTTCTCCCTCGCCCCGCCCCCCCGCTTTCCGATCACAGCTCGGCCCTCCGGCGGGCCGTTCGGGACGACCTCCCCCCCCACGGCGAGGCGCAGCCGATGGACCCCCCCCCCGGGGCGCCGAACACGACGGAACAGCTCCCGGTAACGCTCGAGCTTCCCCCGCGCCTCCCGCCTCGCGGCGCCCTCCCTGTGGCGGTAGGGCGACGCCGCCCCGCGGGGCGCAGAGGCCCCCCCACTCCCCCCCCCCCCTCCCCCACGCTTTCAGAGGCCCGCGCCCCCCCGCGCGCTGCCGCAGGAGAGCCCAGGATCGAATCGACAAGTCGGATCGGCCATCCAAACGAATCGGATCGGCGGACCTCGGCAGCCGAGTGGGGAAAAGTCGAATCGGAGGAAATCGGCATAGCAGGAAGGTTTCATTGAGGAATCGGAATCCGCATCGGAATCCGAAGCCGAATCGAATCGGAACCGGAATCCATCCAAGTCGAATCGACGCGGATCGGGAAATTCGAAACGAGCCCTGGCTGCCGCGCGCGGGGGGCGGAGCGACAGCGACGAGCCGCGGAGGCGAGGGCGCGCGCCTCCGCGTCGTCCCCGCAGCCGTCCTCGAGGCAGCCGCAGTGTGGCGCCGCCGCGCCCATGGCCGCTGCGGCCTCAACCCCCTCCACCTCCGCTTTCTCCACCTACACTTGTTGTTGTTATTGTTGAACTCTCACTTCTGAATAAAAATTATTGTTGACCCCCCCGTCCGGTGTACATTGTTTTTTCGGTTGAAGTGCCCTTCCCGGGGCTCGCACCCTGTTTTTTACAAGGGAAAGTCTTGAAGGTCAAACTGCGTTGTTGGCCCCCGGCTTGCAACAACAACAACAACACCAACACCACCACCACCACCACCACCACCACCACCACCACCAACAACAACAACAACAACAACACCAACCATTTTAAGGCTGTGCGCTCTTACTTGCCCGCGAGTCATTCAACACGTATACCCTACACCCTCGATGCCCGCCCTCTTCGTCTTCGATCACACCCCTTTCGGGGGGATTATTTCTCTTTGCTGGGGCCGGCGGGCTTAGACGTACGGGCAAACCGGAACGGGCGGACAATCCTTCGGGGGCGTACATCTCTCTGCCCGCCATTGGAATTGGCGCGGGCCCTGCAAGAGGAGGAGGGGAAGAACGAGGGAGAGTGGGAGGAAGGGGAGGGGGAAGGACGAAGGAAGAGGGAAGATACCACGTTGTGAAGGCGTCCTTGGCGCGTGCGTGGTTCCTGAACGCCGAAACGCAATTCCAGAATAATTTGTGAGGACGTCGCACGCGAGAGCGCAGTCCTGAGTACATTGTGAGGAAATCTCAGGCGGAAACGGGGGCCCTGACTAAGTTGCGAGGAAGTCTCAAGCGGGAGCGCCGTTCCTGAGCAAATTGCACGGAAGTCTCAGGCGGGAGCGGGGGTTCTCACTAAATTGAAAAGAAGTCTCAGGCGGGAGCGCCGTTCCTGAGTCAATTGCGCGGAAATGTCAAGCAGGAGCGGGGGTCCTGAGTAAAATTCGAAGAAGTCTCACGCGGGAGCGCCGTTCCCACGTAAATTGCACGGAAGTCTCAAGCGGGAACGGGGGTCTTGATTACATTGCGAGGAAGTCTCAGACGGGAGCGCCTTTCCTGAGTAAATTGCGCGGAAGTCTCAGGCGGGAGCGGGGGTCCTGAGTAAAAATCGAAGAAGTCTCAGGCGGGAGCCGTTGTTGTTGTAGCCCGGGGGGCAGGGGCACAGTTTGAGCAGGAAGACTTTCTTTGAGAAAAAACAAAGTGCGAGCCCCGGGGGTGGCACTTCAATCGAAAAAAATCAATGTGCACCGGTGGGGGGGGTCAACAATAATTATTCTTCAAGAATGAGAGTTCAACAACAACAACAATTACTAGCACGTGGGGACACTCCGTTCTCACCAGTGCCAGGGTTTTCATAGGAGGCGGGCAATACCCCCACTTTGTGGGGGGGCCGGTTCAAGCTCTACCAAATTTCCAAACGACTCTTCGCCACCACCCACACCCAGCTTCCCGCCCTATGACGTTCGGACACTTCACTTCGTGGCATGCGGACGACCGTGGCTACTATTCAGGGCCCCGCGGCCGACGACGACGGCGTGCGCGCGCGAAGAAAAAACGAATGTGTCCCGCATGGTATTATTTGACAGGGATGATGGCCCTGGCAGGTGCGCAACCGTTGTTGCAGAAGTTCGAAAAAGTTGCTCGCAAAAGCCCGTTTGACAGAAATGTTTAAAAAGTGTTGGGTTTCCTACGAATCCGCAAGAGCGCGCGGGATGAAATGTTGACAAGTTTTTTTATTGAAAAACCATACGTTTTTGTTATGTTTGTATGTTAAAATCGCTACGAAAACTAAGGTTTTGGACGGATTTCGTCTTGCGCGCGCGAATGTCCACTTTACCTTATTTTTTGCAAGGGATTCTTGAAATTGGTTATGTTAGAACAAGAAATGTCATTTTATATTGTTTTTTGCAAGGGAAAGCGGGGGGGAACAAAACAACCGGATCTGGATCACATCGTTTTGCCTGAGACTTCCTCACGAAAATGATGAAAATGTGGCTGCGGCCTAGGCGCGGCGGGGGGGCCGTGCACCAGGGGCCCCAACAATAATTATTCTTTAAAAGAAATAATGTTCAACAACAACAACAACGGCTCCCGCCTGATACTTCCTCACAATGTATTGAAGAATCGCGATCTCGCTTGGGACTTCCTTGCGGTTTACCACCGAATCGCGGCTCCCGTCTGATACTTCCTCACAATGTATTGAAGAATCGCGCTCTCGCTTGGGACTTCCTTGCGGTTTACCACCGAATCGCGGCTCCCGTCTGATACTTCCTCACAATGTATTGAAGAATCGCTCTCTCGCTTGGGACTTCCTCGCAACTTACCACCGAATCGCGGCTCTCGCCTGACACTTCCTTACAATTTATTCAAATGCCGCTCCTCGACACTCAGGAATCGCGCTCCCGCTACATTTTGCCTGGCGGTTCAAGAAGAATTTAATCTTCAATGACCCGCTCACTCGACCCGCCCGTCTGGGCCTGCCCGCCCGACCAGCCCGTTAGGGACTGCAGTCGCCGCTCGCTGCCCTTCGCCCGCCTTCGATGTCCCTCGCTGCCCGTACTGGTTCCGCGGTAACCTTCGCTCGCTGCCCTTCGTGGCCCCGTTGCTGCTCTGAGTGGCCCCGTCGCTGCCCATTGTGGCCCCGCATTATATGCCCTTCATGGCCCCCGCTCGCAATCGCCCGTCGTGGTTCATACGCATGCGTTCCGTCGCCCCGCTGTCGCCCTTCGCGGCCCTCTCGCTGCCCTTCGTGGCCCCTTTGCTGCCCTCAGTGGCCCCGCTGTCGCCCTTTGTGGCCCCATATACGAATGCCCTTCGTGGCCTCCGCTCGTTCACGCCCGTCGTGGCCCCATATGCATGCCCTTCGTGGCCCCGCTGTCGCCCTTCGTGGGCCCCTCTCTGCCCTTCGTGGCCCCGTTTCTGCCCTCAGCGGCCCCGTCGCTGCCCTCTGTGGCCCCAGATTAATTGCCCTTCGTGGCCCCCGCTCGCTCGCGCCCTCCGTGGTCCCATACGCATGCGTTTCGCCGCCCCGCTATCGCCATTCGTGGCCCCCTCGCTGCCCTTCGTGGCCCACTTTCTGCGCTCAGTGGCCCTGCTGTCGCCCTTCCTGGCCCCATATATGTGCGCCCTTCGTGGCCCCCGCTCGTTCGCACCCGTCGTGGCCCCATATGCATGCCCTTCGTGGCCCCGCTGTCGCCCTTCGTGGCCCCCTCTCTGCCCTTCGTGGCTCCGTTTCTGCCCTCAGCGGCTCCGTCGCTGCCCTCTGCGGCCCCCGATACGTATGCCCCTCGTGACCCCCGCTCGTTCGCGCCCGTCGTGGCCCGCGCCAACAACGGCTCCCGCCTGATACTTTAATGTATTGAAGAAGCGCGCTCTCGCTTGGGACTTCCTTGCGATTTACCACCGAATCGCGGCTCCCGCCTGATACTTCCTCACAGTTTATTGGAGAATCGCGCTCTCGCTTTGGACTTCCTCGCAACCATACGCATGCCCTTCGTAGCCCCGCTGTCGCCCTTCGTGGCCCTCTCCTCCCTTATGATATGTGATGTGACTTGCTGTGATATGTGCTTTGATGTGGCCCTCTCCTCCATTGCGATATGTGATGTGACTTGTTTGCTGAGATATGTGCCCCTCCCCTCCCTTCCTCCGATCCCTTCGTCCTCATTCTCCCCCGTTATCTGTTACCCTTCGTTTTGAAAAAGCGTGTTCTACCGCTGCTGGCGGAAAACCGGGGGGGGTCACTACCGGTTCCAACCCCTCCCCCCCCTCTCTTGAAAACCGGGGGGGGTCACTATCGGTTCGAATCCCTCCCCCCCACCCCCCCCCAATCCATCCATCGTGAAAAGGGGGGGGTCACTACCGGTTCGAACGCCCCCCCCCCTTCGAAAACCGAAAACCGGTGGAGGTCACTACCGGTTCGAACCCCCCCCCCCCCTCGAAAACCCGGAGGGGGTGCGGACAGTGGTGGGGACGGTGGTGGTGGGGACAGTGGTGAGGGGACAGCGGGGCAGTGGTGGGGACAGTGGGACAGTGGTGGGGACGGTAGTAGTGGGGACAGGTGAGGACAATGGTGGGAACAGTGGGGACAGTGGGACAGTGGTGGGGACGGTGGTGGTGGGGACGGTGGTGTGGGGACAGTGGGAATGTGGTTGGACCAGTGGGACAGTGGAGGGTACAGTGGTGGTGGGGACAGTGGTGAAGGCGGTGGCGAGGACGGCGGTGGGA